CAATTTCATTCATGGTCCTATGACATTATACAGTAGCAGCCCATCCGCATTATGCTTCCTTCTTTCCTTTTTTCCTTCCTTCCTTCCTTCCTTCCCTCCCTCCTTCCCTCTCTCTGTCTCCTTCCCTCCTTCCTTCTTTCCTCCTTCTCTCTCTCTCTCCCCCTCCCCCCCTCCCTCTCAGAGTCTCAAGCTATTGCCCTGGGTCGAGTGTGGTGGCGTCATAGCTCACAGCAACCTCTGACTCTTGGGGTCAAGCGATCCTCTTGCCTCAGTTTTTCTTTTTCTATTTTTAGTAGAGACAGGGTCTTGCTTTTGCTCAGGCTGGTCTCGAAATCGTGAGCTCAAGCTATCCACCCGCCTCAGCCTCCCAGAGGGCTGGGATTACAGATGTGAGCCACCACACCCGGCCTGTTTTGCTACTTTCTAACAACACATTTTTTAAAAATGGCATTTCATGCCTTTTTAATAAAGACAATTCTTTAAGAAATGAATTTGAACTTCATCCTTTAAAGCAGCAATTCTCAACCTGTGGGTCGTGACCCCTTTTAGCTGTATTAAAGTTTCCAGAGTTAGGAAGGTTGAGAACAACTGCTTTAAAGAGTGCTTAGTGTTAATTTTTAAAAAAATGTTTAGGGAGGTGCCTGTAGCTCCGGGGTAGGACGCCAGCCGCATACATTGAGATTGACAGGTTTGAACCCAGCCCGGGCCTGCTAAACATCAATGACAACTGCAACAAAAAAACAAATAGCTGGGTGTTGTGGCAGGTGCCTGTAGTCCCAGCTGGAGGCTGAGGCAAGAGAATTGCTTGAGTCTAAGAGTTTGAGGTTGCTGTGAGCTGCGATGCCATGGCACTCTACCCAGGGCAACAGCTTGAGACTCTGTCTCAAAAGAAAAAAAAAAAAGTTTAGCTCCTTAGTCCTTCTGGAACCTAATGTGCAGGGTGTAAGGAAATAAACTAAATAAACTTAGTTTTTTACAGATGGACACCTAGTTGTTCCAAACTATTGAATAACTCATTATTTACCCCATTAATTTAACATCATTTTTATCATATATATTAAACAAATCTCATGTAATCATGATTGTTTCTACAATATGATTCAATATATTTGCCTGTCTCTTTGTCGGTGCCATGTTACTTTGGTTACTGTGACTTTTTTTTTTTTTTTTTTTTTTTGTAGCTTTTGGCCGGGGCTGGGTTTGAACTTGCCACCTCCGGTATATGGGGCAGGCACCCTACTCCTTTAAGCCACAGGCACCACCCTGGTTACTGTGATTTTACAGGACATTTTGTTGTCTGGCAAAGCTCCTATTATTGCTTTTTGCTTCCCTCTCCTCCATCTCAAAATTTGGCCACGCTCATGTTTAGTGTTCCAGATGAATTTTAGATTCAACTCATCAAATTCCCAAATCTTCCTATTAGGGTTTTAATTGAAATCGCATTAAATTGACATAATTATATATAATAATATTGAAGTTTCCCATCAGAAACATATGTTTTCATTTATTTAAATCTTTTTCTTTTCAGTTTTTTGGAGACAGAACCTCAAGCTGTCACCCTGGGTAAAGTGCTGTGGCATCACAGCTCACAGCAACCCCCAACTCCTGGGCTCAAGAGATTCTCCTGCCTCCGCCTCCCTAGTAGTTGGGATTACGAGGTGCCCGCCACAACGCCCGGCTATTTTTTGGTTGCAGCTGTCGTTGTTGTTTGGTGGGCCTGGGCTGGATTTGAACCTGCCAGCTCAGGTGTATGTGGCTGGAGCATTAGCCTCTTGAGCCACAGGGGCCAAGCCCCTTTATTTAAATCTTTAAAAATTTTTTTATTTTAGAGTCAGGATCTTGCTGTGTTGTCCAGGCTAGAGCACGTGGGTATTCACAGGCAGGACCATAGTGCAGTGCAGCCCTGTACTTCTGGGCTCAAGTGATCCTCCTCCCTCAGTCTCCAGTGTGGCTGAGACTATAGGTATGGGCTACCACATCTGACTTATTTTAGTCATTTAGAATGTCCTTAAAGTTGTCTTGTTTTCTCCATATAGATCCGGCATATTTCTCAAAATTTTTTAAGTGGGTGTGTTTGTATGTTTGCAAAGGCTGGTATGGTGAATGGGAATTTTTTCCATTTTAATATTTTTTAAAGATTTTATCTTAGTCAAGGTTTTTATGGTAGCAATTTACATAAATACATTCAAACTAACTTAGGCAAAAAAAAAAGGGAGCGGGGCGGGGAGAATTCTTTGGAAGGTGGCCGAGGCCAAGGGTGGAAAGAAGCCTGGACCTCACAAGGGGGATGGAAACCAGAACGTCTCCTTTGCTGCTTCTATGAGTAGATCAATTTTTCTCTCCATCTGCAGTTCCGCTTTCTTTGCTACTCCTTTTGTCACAGTTTCACATCTCTGGGAAGCGAGGGGATATAGAAAAATCTCCGGCTATAGGGCTACCCACATGAATGGAGCAATTCCCAGAAAATAAATGGGCTGAGGAGGAACCTTTGTAACATATTTCAAAGTGCTGCAATATCAGGAACTTCAAAAGAATTTGTTTCTTGCCTAAGAGAGGTAGAGTTGGAAGTTAAAGTATGGGAGAACCCACCCTCCTTAGTTTCAGGTGATTGATAAACAGGGACTGAAAACCATCAGGTTTTGGGATGAATAATTCAGCAAAAATATATTGAGCCTGTTCTCTGGCTTTGCATTTGTATACTACTCTGCTGTTGTACAGGCACAGTGGCATACCTTTCCTTGCCATCATCGGGGTCATGGCTGATACTCCAATAACAAAATCTACATTAACAAGAGAAAAGTATAACAAATTTATTTTATCAAAGTTTTACATGGCATGAGAAACTTCAGAAATGAAGACTCAAAGATCTAAGGAAACCGGTCTACTTTTATACTTAGGTTTGATGAAGAATAGACAGCCATGTAGAAATGTGACTGGACCAAAAGGGTATGATTAAATAGTAACAGATGGAGGGGGGAAACCCAGCAAGGTCTCTTTGTTTAGCATCCTTTCCTCTCGAGTACAGGGCAGGATCCCTTGTGACTTACTATCAGTAAAGGTAGGTCAGAGAATTTCTTTATGGCTAGGTCCAACACAGAAAGGCAGGGGAAGGTTAGAATGATAATTTTAGGTGTTATGACTAGCATTTGGAGGGGGAGGGGTTCTAGTTTTTATGACCCAGCTTGAGGGAAAGCAATTCTGGTTTCAATAGCTTGCCTTGAGAAAGAAATGTGGACGATAGGAGGTCAGGTCAGAGAGAGACTACTTCTGAGGTCTTCCAATCTCTTAGTTCAAAGTATTCACCAAGCCAAAACACTATATTTTGAGGTATTGTTTTCTGAGCCCTAACACTGTTTTTTTTTTTTTTTTTTTGAGACAAGAGTCTCAAACTGTCATCCTGGGTGGAGTGCCATGGTGTCACAGCTCACAGCAACCTCAAACTTTTGGGCTTAAGCGATTTTCTTGTCTCAACCTCCCAAGTAGCTGGGTCTACAGGCACCTGCCACAATGCCCAGCTATTTTTTGTTGCTGTTGCAGGTGTCATTGTTTTTTTAGCAGGCTCTGGCTGGGCTCAAACCCACCAGCCTCAGTGTAGGTGGCCAGCACCCTCACTCACTAAGCTACTGGCGCTGCCCCCACAACACTGTTCATGATATATTTCCACATAGTTCACTTGACTATCTTTTAGGCTTTTGGCTTAGAGTACACATAGTATGCCAAGAACAGGAAACTGGGTAGTTTAAGGGTATACATTATCATTTCAAATAGTTTGTCTTTAGAAAATAAGATCTTTCAGGCCAAGCATAGTGGCTCATGCCTGTAATCCTAGTATTTTGTAAGGCTAAGGTAGGAGGATCACTTGAGTTCAGGAATTTGAGATCAGCCTGAGGAAGAGCAAGAACCCTTCTCTACTAGAAACAGGAAAATTTGCTGGGCATCATGGCAGGCATCTTTAGTCCCAGCTATTTTGGGAGTCTGAGGCAGGATTGCTTGAACCCAGAACTCTAGCCTGGAGCAACAGAGTGGGACTCTGCCTTAAAAAAGAAAGAAGAAAGAAAGGAAATAAGAACCTCCAAAGTTGTTAACTTGGGATAAAGATGACTATGACCCTATTCTTACATTATTTCCCTATTACATTATATGGTTTACAATTCCTTTGGATTTTTCTATGAAAGGGGCACTTTTATAGGGATAAAAGAAACTCTCTCCCTAAACCAGAACTTGTGTTAAAATACATTTTTCTTTATTCACTTTATTAATCTAGTTCAACAGTTGACAACAGCATTTAAACTAGGAATCTGAAAGCTACAAGAACCAAGAAACTTTGGCAGTCTTCTAACTATTGGTTACTAATTGAATGACCTTCACAAGTAACATGGCCTCTGTGACCCTGTTTTCTTACTTTCAAACCCAGGATAACTTCTATTTGGGTATTATGAGACGAAACACAGAACAAAGGACTCACGTGGGACGTTACCAGTGACTAAGGTGGGAGTCTGCTACTGCTCAAGGAAAAAAAAGACAAACGACTTTCGCAGGAGACTAAGGAGGAGAAAATAAGGACCCCAGAAGTTACACCCTCGCCAGCCTCAGCTCTTTTACACGGATAACTCCATCCTATGGCGGACACACTCTTAATCGGAAAATGAATGTTCACTTTGGCCGAGTTTTTCTCTCACTAATGCAAAGTTCCATTTTTCCAAACTTTGCTTCCCCGCTCAGTCTGCAAACAACGAGTCAGGTTTTCCTTAGTGGCCCAGGGGTTGGGGAGGACTGAAATCACCACAAGCCAAGAGGAGTCCCAGGACGTGCGGAGCAGCGAATAGGGTACCAGCTCTGGGGCTAGGCTGTTGCTCTGCAGGCACAGCCGCGGGGGGACCGCCCCACTCCTGCCAGCCTACTCCGCCTCCCATCAGACACGTTTGCACAGTTTAGGGAGTGACTTCCGGCCTCAGAGAGGTGTGTTCCGGTCGTCCCTCAGCTCGTCTTCCTTCCGGGGCGGGACTTTCTATCAGGCGCGCGGCTGCGGAGCTCTTAGAGGGGAAAGACAGGAGGGTCGGTATCGTTAACGAGGCCTTACAGTCCTTGAAAGCGTAACTAGGAGGACGGTGTTTCTCTCTTTTCTTTCTTGGTCTTTTCTCCACGTGACGTCCTGATTGCACCGACCCCTGGGCCTTCGGCCCTACAGACCACCTGAGGCTCTTCCGCTTCCTTTTTCCTCAGGCCCCGCCCTCGGCGTCCCGTGGCCATGGCGACCACTCCCCGGGACTCCCTCGTGTGGAAGCTCGCGGGGCTGCTGCGGGAGTCCGGTGAGTGGACTTCCGTCTGAGCTGGGCCTGGGCGAGGTGGGGGTGGTACCTTCCAGAGACACGCCTTAAGAGTCTCAGGCTTGCGATCGATTGTGTCTCGAGGTGTCGGAATTCAGTTTATTTAGGCTTCCCAGGTTTGTTAGCTCTAGTCCTGTTGCCTCCAGAGTCCTTTGCTTTTGGCCGTCTAAATCCTAGCCGACCTTCGAGGCCAAACTCCAGTATCACTTCTTCCAGCGTTACTGATACTTTCTAAAGTAAGGGATCTTTTCTTGCCTAAAAGCCCCTGAAGACCGGGGACTGGTGATAATCACTGTTGCATAGCCAGAGGCTAGATGTAGTATAGTTAAAAGCACGAAACTTGGGTTCAGACCTGCCTCCGTTGGAATCTCAGCTCTCTTTAAAACTGGCCCAGATTGTTTCCTGCTCCTCAGTTTTCCTCACAAGCAGAATGGCATAATGATTGTACTCAGCAGTTGTGGAGATTAATTTTAATTCATGTAAGATATTTAGTACAGTGTTTGCCCATACAGTTAAGTGCTTAACAGTAGCTATTTGAATTGCTTCCCTCAGTACCTGGTGCTGTGCCTGGTCACAATGGAACTGCAGTAGTTGTTCAGTATGTGGTTGGCATTAGTTGTGGTAGAACAAGCTTTGACTTTGAGATCAGGAGTAAGTAGCAACTTCCTACTGGCTTTACAATCTCCATCAAGATTTTTTATTTTGAGACAAAGTCTCACTATGTCACCCTGGGCAGAGTGCTGTGGCATCACAGCTCACAGCAACCTCAAACTCTTGGGCTTAAGTGATTCTGCCTCCCAAGTAGTTGGGACTACAGGCGCCTGCCACAACACCTGGCTATTTTTTTGTTGCAGTTGTTTAGTTGGCCCTGGTTGAGTTCAAAACTGCCACCCTTGGTGTATGTAGCTGGCATGTAACCACTGTGCTATGGGCAC